CTGGCAGTTGAAGGACGCTCTGTAATTAAAAACAAACAAACATCTAAATCTGTAATTCATTATTTAAAATGTACATTGGGCTCCTGATATCCACTGGGGTTTGGTTCCAGGTCCCCCATGGGTATCAAAAGCTGTGCATGCTCATGTCCCAATATATATAATGGAGTAGTAAAATTCTGTCCCTTATATAAAGTGGCAAAATCAAAATTTGCTTGGCTTGTTTGTATTTTATTTGTTTGTTTTATTAATCTGTGGATGCAGAATCCATGGATACAGAGGGCCAACTGTAAGTTCTTTCCTTTCTTTCTGATGCTTCTAGTGGTAATTCTAACTTTAGATATGTAAACAAATTGAGTTATTGTTTTCTTCTAGGATTTTGCAAAGTAAATGAATGTAATTGCTTTTTTTTTAATTGACCCTCTAAAGAATCCATTCAAGGGGAAACATAGTGAATCTAAAATATTACACTTTTCTTATTAGAATTGAATTTGGCTGGCATCTATATAAAAGACCACAAAATGAAATAATTTTAGTCATAATAAATATTACATTTCCAGCTCTTCAACAGTTTTAGCATAGATTAAATTCTACATAACTATCCTCTGCAGTGTGATTTTGCAAATGGATAATTCTTATAAATATATTGTTCTATCAATTAGGTTTCTTCATTAATTCTAACTTATTTTACAGCAGCCTGCTGCACAGCTTATGTAACATTAGAGAGTTTTTTAACTGAAAAAATAGTATTCAGCTATACTGAAAACCTGTTAAGAGACAGTAATTGGGTGCACTGAAGGTTATCGGATCTACTTCATTAGAATCTATTTCTTGCTATATTGTTTTGCATCTATTGTAGAGGTAATATTAATTTTAAAAATATGTCACATTTGTTTCATTATCTCTTATTAGTATTCCCTTTGCAACATACTGAAAGTGGTATTGTAAGTGAATTTGTGCTGTATACACATATATTTATACCTTCATTTGATATATAATCAACCTGTTTTATTTGAATTAGGTGCCAGACCATTTCAAAGTCAATACATATTTGATATATTTGTCAGTCTCTTTTTAATTATTCATATCTTTGGTATTGTTCACTTATTACTTTTCAGAGAGAAAGAGTGGAGAGTCACATTGCTCAGTTCAGTTACAACACTTAATGATTACTAAAGCAAATTGTAGTTTGCGAACCCACCTTAAATCAGGGTTATATTTCTTTAACCATGGTTTTCAGATGTAAGAAGTAGTGCCTGCGTTCAAATGTGAGAGTATATTTCCTTCCCTGACAGGATTATTCCTTTTCACAGAAACTCTGTTTAGGCCTCTGGGCTGGGAAGAAGGAAATGAAAAATACACCTTTTGTTCTTTCCTACCCCAGCGACCATTCTTTGCTGTGTTATATAGCAGTAGAGGATTCAAATATGTAGCTGTATTTGTATAGCTGTTCAGCAGGGAAGAGGAAGAGTTGAGAGAGCTGGAAGCAGAAACAGTTTCTTTTTTCCTTTACTGTGTCCAGAAACATGTTTGTTCTTTTTCATGATCTCTGTGGACTTGCACATAAGGGTCTTGTGCCTGCACAGAGTAACGATCTGACCATTCCAGAGCTGTACAGTTTTTGGCAGGAGCCCCAGTCCACCATGCCCCTCTGGCACATATATCCCTCCTTGAGTTCCCTTTCCTGTAAGAGAACTACTAGTTGAGCTTTTTCCTCTCTAGTTTCTTCTCTTTGCTTCTTCAGTCCTTATCCTCTTCCATTGTTGATCGTGTATGTCCCCTTAAGCACTCTTCAAGAAATGCACTTCTTGTGGACTGGATAAGTCAGTCTGGTGGGGATGTTAAGCATAAACAGGAAGGGAGTATATTTAAACTTATGGTATGCAACTCTCCAAATACTAATGAACCCTCCAAGATGTAAAATGTAGGTTTCTGAAACTTGAGTAATTTTTTCTTCCTCCTCTTCACATTCAGTTCGCCCACCCCATCCCAACGTTTAGCTCAACATTCTGGATGAGCCATTCTAAGACTCCCCCCCCCCTTTACAAGTCATGGGCAACTGCAGACTTACCAGTTCACCTATTTATGTGTATTTAATTTCCTTTGTTTTGGATGGCTATCCATTAATAATCAATATTTGATTGCTTGAGTTGTCTTTTAGATGGAATGATGCTACTGTTTAGCGATATGTTTGGCCAGAACCACTAATGCTACACTTATGGCCAATTAAACATGTCATATTTGTCATACTTCACACATTGATGTTGTGTATGGTTTTTGTTTGCTATATATGGAGATGTTGTCTTGGGAAAAGGAATCTGTGAAGTGTCTCTGAAAGACACCACAGATGTCTATCATAGCATCTCATGAAAAGTTTTACAACTTTGGTTGTGCAGTCATGAAATAAATTCTGAGGCTGTGGAGAAGCTACTGTTAGCGTTGTTCTGCATGCTCTCAAGAATAGAGAATATGCACTCTCATCTCTTTATGATAACTAATTTATATAATCTTGTCCAATGATGCTCATTGGTTGGTCCCAGGTCAAATGTGGATATAGCAAAATCACCTCAAATTCCACACAAAACTAAGATAAGGGACCATTTCACACTACACAATTATAGCATTGTAATTCTGCTTTAACTCTATGGAATTCTTAGGTTTGTAGTTTGGTGAAGTACTAGAGCTCTCTAGTGGGGAATTGTAAGTAACTGTCCCTAAACTGCAGATCCCAGGATTCCATAGGGTGTTGCTATGGCAGTTAATGTGGAATCTAGAACTATAATTGTATAGTATGAAAAGGCCCAAGACTTTTGGCAGCAGAATTCTAAATTAAGATCAAAAGCACTGATATCCACATCCAATCCAGATTGATTTTTATAATAATAATAATAATATATTTTATTTGTATACCGCCCTAGTGGAAAACCAATCTAGGCGGTGAACAATAAAAATTGTAAATTACAACAAGTTAAAACAGCAACATCCCTCCACCCCCCCTTAAAACATTATTAAATCAAGTACAATTAAAACAACTGCAGTTAAGCAGTACTTAAACTAAAACCAAATATATATAACAACATCAGCTACAACACACAGCACAGCAAGCGATACAGCAGTCAATGATACAATTGGAGGGTCCCTGGGCTAGTTATCTAGTCCGGAAAGGCCTGCCGGAAGAGATCTGTCTTAACAGCCTTTTTAAAGCTGTTTAAAGATGTTAATTGACGGATCTCATCCGGCAGGCCGTTCCAGAGTCTGGGAGCGACAATAGAAAAGGCCCTCTGGGAGGTCGCCGCAAGCCTGGCTCTTTGCGGCTGCAGCAAGTTCCTCCCAGAGGATCGGAGGGCACGGGGAGGATTATATGGGAGGAGGCGGTCTCTGAGATAGTTTGGGCCCAAGCCATTTAGGGCTTTAAAGGTAGGGAGTACATGGCAGATTATAAATTCATTGAAAATCAGTAAAGGAAAACATTAAGTTTCTGCTGTTCAAACCAGCCACATGTATGAAAACATCTTTTAAACAGGATTGATTGTCACCCAGTGACGTGATACAGTGTGACTTGAGCTGCCAGTGCAACTTGAATTATTTAGTGCACTGGAAGGGTCAGTTATTGTCTGCTTAAAGCGTTGATGGAGATCATATCACTATAGTGTTTTTTTTGTTTTGTTTCATTTCATATATTCATATTTAAACTAAATTAATGGTGTATGGCATATGAGGTTTTGCTGCATGAATTCTTGCTGATATAAATGTCAGTGAACATATAATACCAGAGTTTCATTTTGCAAGTCACAATGCATGGAATTCAGCCTGAAAGCTCCCTAGACTTTAGGCCTCATTATAGCTGAATAGAAGAGGAGAAGGAGGGGATAATGTTCCAGAGGTTTTGTTTCAGCAGAAATAAGGTTATCACAATGAATGATGCTATTGACAATGAGGTTTCTATAGCTCCTCTTAGCCAAAGACTATTTTTCCCAGTGCTGCTGCTGGTTTGCTTTAAGTAATTTTAATCTAGATGGTATGATAGTGACAGCAAAGAAAATGAATATTTCAGATCATTCTGTCTGAATACAGACTTTTCTGTGGTCTAAAGCCCTGTGCTTGTCTCTCTCCAAAACAAATGTATTTGGTTGCTTCTGAAACTAAGCTTTTTGTGGAATAGAGCTCTGAAGGAGTAAAGGTCCATAGAATTCAACCTTACACCTAAGGGCAAAATGGTCCACCCACCTACTTTCAAAATACTGTTTTTAATGGTATGAAGACAATAAGGTTACAACTCATTTATGTCTGGACGCTTTTATGTTTCTTCATTTTCAGATGAGATGTATGCTGTATGTATCATTTCATAACCCTGTAAATTATACCGCTACTGCAATGCCCTTATTCATTTGGGACTAATTTGCTACCTATCTAAATATCTACAAGAAGATAATTCACAGAAAAACAAATTCCTATCCACAGAAATCAAGTAATATTCTGGTATATTGTTTTTAATGTGATGGTGAAGCCAGGGAGAAAAGGGTGGTTTGAGCACAATGTGATAATATATGAAATTGGGTTTTCCAGGAAAAATTTTAAAAGCTAGGTACAACACATTTTGCTATTGTCATTGTTTTTTGCCTTCAAGTCATTTCGAATGTACAGCGGCCCTAAAATGAACCTACTTATCATAGGGTTTTCTTGACAAGTTTCTTCAGAGGGAGTTTGCCATTGCCATCCTCTGAGGCTGAGAGTGTGTGATTTTCCCAAGGTCACCCAGTGGGTTTCCATGGCCAAGCAGTGATTCAAACTCTGGTCTCCAGAGCCATAGTCCAATGTTCAAACTACTACACCACGCTGGCTGTCTTGCTAAGCAATAATTTTTTACTTATTTTTATATTTGTCTAATCCTTTTTGATCAATGGCTGTCCAAATGGCTAAGTATAAAAACATAAAACCATTACCATTCTGATTCTTCAGTGAAGGTGTGACTTTATTTTGGAATGGTAAGCCATGATATGAGAGCCAACATGGTGTAGTGGTTTGAATATTGGACTACAACTCTGGAGATCAGGGTTCAAGTTCCCTGCTCTGCCATGGAAACTCACTGGGTGATCTTCTGTGAGTCACATACTCTCAGCCCTCAAAAACCCCACCTTAGGATCAGGAAAGCTATGGAACACCCTTAAAAACATGGGAGTGCCAACAGATCTGATAGTCCTGATGAGGAATCTGTACTCAGGATAAGAGGTTACTGTCAGAACAGAACATGGAGAAACAGAATGGTTCCCAATTGGCAAAGGAGTCAGACAAGGCTGCATCCTATCACCCTAACTATTTAACTTATATGCAGAACATGTTGTAAGGAAAACAGACTTGGACACAGAAGAAGGAGGAGTGAAAATCGGAGGAAGGAATATCAACAATCTAAAACAGGGGTAGGCAACCTTTCCCCTTTAAGGGCCGAGGGACTTCAGCTCCCAGAATCCCAGGAGCTATTGGCCAACATGGGACTATTGGCCAACATGGCTGAGGCTTCTGGGAGCTGAAGTCCCTCGGCCCTTAAAGGGGAAAGGTTGCCTACCCCTGATCTAAAATATACAGATGACACCATAGTATGAGGGGATATCGTAAAGTGATAATTATCACCTGGAGTTATTATGGTATATTGATGAAATTGTGTCAGTGTCATCATTGGTCACTAAGTGCCTGATGTTGAGAAAATCAGTGCATTGTGTCCTTTATTTTTGTTACAGGTTGTGCCAGAAATGACTAAAGTGTAAGTTGGAGAAGATTGAGGCTCACAGCATGATAAAGTTCCTGCATTTGGAAGGTAATAGTGCTCAGTGAATTCATGATGAGATGATGGTAGTTTATGGAAATGCTTGCCCATCTTATAACACTATTGTGAGGTGGAAAAGGAATTTCCAAACTGGTCATATGTCCCTCACAGATGAGCCAAGACCTGGAAGACCATCATTGATGGACAACGCGGCCACAGTGAAGAAAGTGGAGTGTTTAATCCTGGAAGACAGATGAGCAACCATCCAAATGATCATGAAGGAAACTGGTCTCAGTTATGGTCATGTGTGGAAAATTATTCATGATGAACTGCACATGTCTAAAGTGTCTGCACACTGGGTTCCACGTTTGCTAATCCCTTTCCAGAAACAAACACAGTGTGACCTTTTAAGACAGATGTTGATACTGTTGGAACAGGATGAAGAGGATTTTTGGTCATCTGGTAACCATGGATGAATCTTGGATCTATCAGTATGATCCAGAGACCAAAACCATGAGCATGGAGTGGAAGCATGCCCATTACCCTTCCCCCAAAAAGGCAAAGGTGCATTAGCAAAGAAGGTCATGCTGTCAGTTTTTTGGGACTGTCATGGAGTCATTCTCACAGATTACCTTGCAAAGGGACAAACCATCACTGCCACATACTGCAGCAATCTTTTGGACAAATTGTGAGATGCTCTGAAAAAGAAACATCATGGTATGCTCCCCAGAGGCATTTGTCTCTAAACTGACAATCCACCAGCTCACTCATTTCAAGTTGCAGTTAACAAAGCAAGGGCATGTGGCTTTGAGATCTTGCAGCATCTGCCTTATTTTCCCAACCTCACACCAAGTGACTTTCTCTTGTTCCCAAAAATGAAAAATCTATTGGGGGATTACCGATTTGACAACACAAATGACGTCATTCATGAAGTGGAAGAGTGGTTTAAGATGCAATCTGCAGACTTCTACAATAATCATATTCAGAGGATCAAGAAACGCTGGGCGAAATATGTATATCTGGATAGTGACTATGTAGAGATAAGTCAATAACTACAAATCAAAACAAACTTTCTGTCAAAATTGTTTAAAGGTGATAATTGAAAATTTATGATACCCCCTCGTACTAGCAGAAAACCTGACAGACCTGGAACACCTACTAAGGAAGATCAAAGAAGAAAGTGCAAAGTCAGGATTAATGCTGAACATAAAGAAAACAAAAATAATGGCCACCGGGGGCCTTCACAAGTTCAACCTAGACAATGAAGAAATAGAAATAGTAAAAGAATTCCCATACCTCTGATCAAACTGATAGAAATGGTGACTGCAGTCAGGAAATCAGAAGAAGATTAAGAAT